GAGAGAGAGAGAGAGAGAGAGAAAGAGGAGGGGAGGAGGAATCAGGGAATAGGAGCTGGGGCGCCCTTCTGCACCACAGGTAAAAGAGAACGATGACGATAATCCCAAGGCGGAAGCCCCTGAGCGTCTCCCCCTTCCTCCAGTGCATCCCCCCCACGCAGGCTCTCTGCCCCGGCCTCCCCCCTCTACCTCTCTAGGCGGCTCCTCCTGCCCTCCCGCCGCTGCTGCTGCTGCTGCTGCCGCCGCTCGGAAAGGCCCGAGGGTGCTGGTGCCCAGGGGCTGCGGCCGCGCCCCCCATTTGTCTCCCGAGTTGGCGTGGGGGCTGGGTGGAGGGGGCGGCGGTGGTGACTTCCCCCAGCTCTGGGGCTGCCTGGGCAAAAGAGTGGCTGCTTCCCCTCCCCCCTCCCCCCTTCCCCCAACCTGGGGGGTCCTGGCTGGAAGGTCAAATGCAGGAAGAAGGCGAGGCTGAGGGGTCTGAGTAGAGCTTAACTTCCTACTTGGTAAATTTCCTGGTTCTTTCCAGCTCTGGGCTGCACGCTTCCTTCCCCGGCCGGAAGCAGAACAGACCGGGAACGCTCTTCCTTTTAAAATGCTGCCGTTTCGCGGAGCCCTTCCTTTACTGTTTGACCCACACTCCAGTGTGTTCACCCTGAGAACATGCCAGGGGAACCCTCTCAGGCTCTGAGGAAGACTTTGCAGAGGGTGAAAGTGGATTTTTTTTGTTTTTTCTTGGTCCTGCTTTTCTTGAAAACAAAACAAAAAAAGTTTCCCCAACCAAGGTTTGGTTCTACGTGCTGGCCGAATACCGTCGATGAGTTTTATCTCACGACTTGTGATCGATGTTGACAGTTCCTAACCTGTAGAGTTTTCTGAATGGTGACTTTCAGGAAAGAGTCTGAATTCCCCATGCTGGATTGCACGATACCCCGAGATTTTAGACAGCAAGTAGTGCAGCGAGTGACGGTTAGCGTGCTCTGAAATTTCTGGCCTGGCCATTCGTTTGTACTTTGTGCACGAAAATATTAGCCGGATACAGCTGTGTATTAGAGTATATTGCCGTTGCACAAAACAAGCCACTTAAAAGCAGGAAGCAGTTAATGCATACAGTGCTGAAAAATAAACTTTGGAGCATTTTAGATTTACTGGTATCAGTAATGCAAGAAACCCATTTCTACCTTGTTATTTCTCTCATGGCTCTTCTGTGCCTTGGCCTTACTAATTTTCATATATCTCTAAATTCAGAAGATCCCTGGAGGTGCAGTGTTTAGCGCTCTGTGGGACCTTTCATCCATCTGCCCCTCAGTGGGAGAATAGGTGAAAGCCAGCTTTCCTGAATATTAGAGCCTTGGAAACCGAATGGGACCGTTCTGCTTTGTCCTAGCAGCTTGCTTAGTCTGATGTCAATGGAGTTGGAATGAAGTGAGAAGATTGCCTTTCGAACTTTTATGTGCATTTGAATCACTTGATGCTCTGGTTAAAATCACAGATTCTGATTTGGTAGATGTGTGATACAGCTAGAACTTCTAGGTGCTTGGGTATCAGGAACGTAGATAACTGTGTTTACTGAGTGACTAGCAATGGACAATTTCTTTGATTATCCACCCTGAATGTACAGGTGGCTTGGGAGAAGGAGCAAGTAGCAAGTTATATTGAGAAAACTTGCTGAGGGTGGTCCCTCCTCTAGGGTGAGCTAACCAAGTCCAAGTTCCAGTGGCAGGGGAAGAACTCCATAAGCTTCCCCAACCAGGAAGAGCGCTTTCTGCTTTGCTCTGTGGTGCCTGCATCAAGCTCATCTGCCATTTTCTCCGTAAAAGCTTGGTCACATTTTCTTAGCTGAAAGACTTGCTCAGCTGTGGACAATTGCAATCTATATATTTCAATTGAGAGAGATAGGGAGAGAGAGAGAGAGACAATAAGAGCATGAATATAAATCTCTCACCTCAGTCGAGTGCATCCCTACATTCCTGAGCCTTGCTAGCAAGCTTGTAAACAGTTGTTACTACCTAAACTTGAGGGTATCCTAACTACATTTTTTCTACATTTCTTTTGAAAAGTAGAAAAAAGTTCTTTTTTTCCCCTGATGTAATTTAAAGGCAGAATTGAGAAGTTTGGAGACGTCACACTGAACATGATAAAGTTTATGTACATCAAAGTAGTTTCTTTTCCTTTTCAAACTAGGGAAGTAGAGCATCCAATACCTTTAGTGCTATAATTTTTATGGTTTTTATTCTAGGCTTTATCACTGTTTCTTAGTGTTTTAAGTAATATAAGAATTCTTCGGAAGCACTAAGTGCCAGACACTGATCTAAGTGCCTCTTTAGTTTTATTTAATCCTCACAAGCACCCCCTCCAAGGAAACAGAAGCAGATAAGAGGGTACACTTCGTGCCCTGGGTTACAGGGCTGGCAAGAAGAGCGCTGGAATTTTGTCTGCTCTAGTCAGTGCTTTTAATAATCTTTTCTATCCTGTCTTTTTGGAAGTTAATGATGTTAAAGAGCTATTAATCTCCTACCACCAGGGTTGCCTAGAATGATGGGCTTTACTTTTACTTTAAAATTCAAATTCGTCATCATTCTTTTATTTCCCTTGTTTTCCTCTCACACTAGTGTGACTCAATGGTTATAGTCTTTTTTGATCAAGATACTGCAATGTGCAGACCTTCATTTGCACTTATTTGCTAGACTACTGGGTTCCTTTCTAAGTTGAGATGCTACTGCTAAGTGTAAAAGTACTATCTACTTCCTTTAAACCTGCACATTTTTCAATCTTCATTTCCTGCTTTTCTTCCTTGCATGCATGGTAGACTTATTCTCTATTTTTATCACATTTGGTGTCTTTGGGGTGTGTGCTTGTATGCTGACATGGTTATAACTTTTTACTTGGCAAGTAAGATAAGCATTGGACTTCTAACCATAAGGCCAGTGGTTCAAACTCCTCAGCTGCTTTTCTGGTGAAAATTGAGACTGTCTGTTCCCTTAAAGATTTACAGCCTCAGAAACACTGTAAGTCAGATTCATCTCCAGAATTTTTTTTTAAGGGTTAAAAATGCAAACAAAACCTAAGCATTGGCAATGATCCTATTTTGGGGAGTTAAAGTGAAGGAGGGAATCTCTGATAAAGGATGCTTTGTTACATTGGATAATTTATATGCCATCATAAAAGAATGCTGTGTAATAGTTAACAGCACACATGATAATAAACTACATGACGAAAAGAGACCAAGAGGTCGTTACCTTTTAGAACTGTCTAGAATCCCCTTGTCCTGGTGTTCTTCTACTGTGCCCGCCCTGGCCGCTTGTTCAAGCCTGATGACTGTTCCGTTTCTCTGAGGTTGTGCAGTGAGCTGCACGGTCAAAAACAGCTCAACTGTATCTCCTGGGCCTAAAGACTGACCAGGGCAAGTCATTACTTTCGATGAACTCAGGAACACTTGTTGCACATCCAAATGAGAGAAACCTTACGATAGGTATTTTCACTAATCTATACCGATAATTTAATTTTTTAAGCCATATGATGATGTCTATTATTATGCTTGCTGACTGGGTAACTTCTCTGTGCCTCAATTTTCTCATCTTCAAAATAGGGATAATAGGACTAGCTGCTTCTCAGGGTTGTTTTGTGTCTTAAATCAGTTAGTAGGTATAAAATGCTTAGAACAGTGCCTGGCATGTAGTGAGTGCTGTTATATCAGTATTAAAAATTGTGTCCTATCATAAATAATCTGTGGTGTGGGTTGATCTGTATCTGTATAATCAAGACTGGCTGCATTTGAATAAGCTTAATGTACATTATACATTTATTTGGGATAAGGTGGCACAGACCAGGACAAGAGTAAGTTTGTATTTTTTTCGGCTCCAAACATAAAATTGTTACAGTGATGCTCCTATCACTTTGAAGACTTAAAATGAGTAAATTGTTTGGCAGCTCGGGTCTTTTCACACAAAGAGGTGGAGTTATCGAATTAATAAAAGATGTCTTTGTGGAGTGTGAAAGGATTAGTGTACAATTCTCAAGCATCGTCTTGTAAAGCCGACAGTAATGAAAACCAAACCAAACAAAAACAAGAGTTGTTTCTGATGCCTAGCATCCCTGTAAGGGGTGTCTGAGACGGTAAATATTACAGGGGCAGTTAGCCTCATCTTTCTCCAGCCTAGCTGCTGGGGGGTGGGGGTGGGGGGATTTGAATCAATGACTTTGCAGTTCTAGCGGCCCAAATACCTAACTCACAGCCTACTTTAGGATCACCTTTGCTTTTTAAAAGGCTTCCCTGACCACACCTTTCACCTTCGCCTTTTGTGTTTTGAAACATTGTCTTTTTGGCATGTTTCAGGCCTGATGTATAGTCTGGGCTATACATACAGGGTATCTGTGTCTTAGAAATAATTTTTTTTTTAATTTAGAAAGCTAATATGATTCTTGTGCTGTTTATCATTAAATCTCCCGTGGATAATTTCCCCAGAAAATTACTAGTATTAATATTAAGTAGAATAACAACAACAAGAACTGTGGAAAACCTCACATTAGTTCAGACTGGTTTTTGTTGCCAACCCAGAAAACAGGTTTTAGTTTTTAGAGCCTTTTCAGTTTTTGAAATTAGAGATAAGGGATTTGAGGATCTAAATCTATAACACGACATTCGTGATTATATCTGCCTCCTTGACCAAATGGAGAGCTTTTGGGAAATAGGATTCGTGTCTTAAGTGTTTTTATTTCTTCAGCAGCTAGTATGTAGAGCCTGGCATGCAGTAGCTGTTCATTAAATGCCCACTAGTTTGAATGAAAACCATGTAAAGTTAATGTTACTCAGTCATTTTCATGTGGTTTCTGCGGCTGACTCCATGTAAATATTTTTTAATGACAGATGATCATTTTTCTTAACACAGTTGCCTAGGAAGGTAGTTATTGGAATGAATACACAGACACCTAAGGGGGCCTAAAAAAAGTCCATGGAAAAAATGGAATGAAAAGACCATTGAGCTTTTCCATGGACTTTTTATAGCCCATGTATGTATGAATACCAAGGTTTTATAAGTGATTGCTGGTATACATTTGTGTTAAGTAAAAGCAAGAATGCTTACT